AAGAACTTCAGAGTTCTTTCTCGAGTGAAGCAGTTAGACCATGATGTGAATCAGAAGTTTCTTTTTATGTCAACATTTGATTGTGAAAAATTTCAGAATGATAGCAAAATTGACAGGATTTTCTGGGGAACACCTATAGGCTCACTGCTTGGATTCTGTCATTAATATTTTACAGTGCCTGCTTCGTCTTCCATCTGGGTATTCCTCTATCCAGCCATCAATCCATTTGGCTTTTTGGATGTATTTTAAAGCAAATTGCAGCTATCACTACACTCGCCCTAAATACATTTGCACATAACCAGATTTTGATATCTGTTTACAGGTATTTCTTCCTATAAGGTAAAATTTACTTACAATGAAACATACAAATCTTGAATGTACATTGATTGAGTTTTGACAAAGGCTTATGCCTGTAGGCGATCTAAGTAACTATCAAGGGGGCAGAACAGCCTCATCTCCCAGAAAGTTCTCGTGACCCTTCCCAATCAATCCCCACTCCTTCCACCTCCCAAACTTTGTTCCTGTATTTTTCTGCCCCAAGTTAGTTTTGTCTGTTTGGATAGCCTCAAAAACGGAATCATATGTTATGTACTCTTTGTATGGTTTCTATCCCTTGCCATAATATTTTGGATTGTGTGCCTTAGTGGTTTATTACTTTTGATCGCTAAGTAGTATTCCATTGGGTTAATACACCAGTGTTTACCAATAATGAGGACACAGGGACTTTTTCAGTTTTGGGCTGTTATGAATAAAGGGACTATATTTGTTCTTGTACAAGAAGAAGAGCTAATTTTTTCCTCTCCAGGAACTCAGTGGAATATTTTCAACAGTATTGTCCTTCCATCCAACCTCTCTTCCATCAAGGCAAACACATATTATGTGTTCAATCCCTGGGAAGATAAAGTTAAAACATACATTCCCCATCCTTTATTGAACCTAGGGAGAGAAGCTTTTGGGGTTCTGGACCCAATTCTGTGTGTGTGTTTGTGTGTGTGTGTGTGTATGTTTGTGTGTGTGGTACAGGGAAGGGGCACCAGGCTTCTGTACCCTCTCCAGGAGCACCACTCTCCAGCACCTCCATGTGTTCACCCAGCCTAGAAGCTCTCCCAACCTTGTCCTTTGGGTTTTTAGGGAAGCTTCATTATGTAGGCACAGTGGATTAAATCATTGGCCATTAGTGATCAACTCAACCTGCAGTTCCCCTCCCTGCCCAGGAGGCCTGGGGGTGGGACTGAAAGTTACAATCCTCCAGTCACCTGGATGGTTCTCTTGGCAACCAGTCCTCATCCTTCCCTGAGGTCCAAAAGTCACCTTATTAACATAAGACACCTTTATCACTCTCATCACTTAGGAAATTCCAAGGGTCTTAGGAGATCTGTGTCAGAAATGGGGGTGAAGACCAAAAATGTATCATTTATTATAAATCACAATATTGCGGAGAATAACACAGACCATTACAGAAACACAGAAATAGGGCTAAGATGGAAAGTTCCAGAGAAGGGAGAAGTGTAGGAGCGGTAGACCCAGAGGAGGGAAACAGAGGACTGAGGATTCTCAATATTCTGTAGCAGCTTTAGAAACGAGCTCATGACCCCCTTTCCCACAGCTCCCTTCAGTACAACCCAACTGCTTCACCACAGAGCTCAGTTCTGTGGAGGTGAATTTGCCAGGGGCCTTAGGGAGTGAACTTACTCCTTAAAACCTACTTCCCTAGAACTTACTCTATTTGCAAACCGCCTGCAGGTATGTCTCAAGCCTTGATCTCACTTGACCTGAGACTTTCAGAGGAAGCTTATTATCCTAAGAAGTTATTTTGTCCTAAAGTTTACAGATTCCTTCTGAAAAGCTGGATCGAACTGACTTGTAGAATCAGCCAGGCTTTCTCAAGTGCAACAATTCCAGAATGTACTAACCCTGAGATGCATCACCAGGTTCCTTTTGAGTCATTGGTCGGGTTGCCAGATAAAACACAGGACACCCGATTCAATTTAAATTTCGAGTAAACAACTTTTTTTTCCTTTGATATAAGTGTGTCCCAAATATTGCATGGGACATAAGTATGTCCCCAATATTGGATGCAGTATAAATTTATACCAAAAAGTGTTTCATTGTTTATCTGAAATTCAAATGTAACTGCACACCCTGTACTTTCATTTGCTAAATCTGGCAACTCTAGTCATTGGATCAAGAGGTTTTCTGGCCAAGTGAATTTTACCCATGATAGAAGCCAAACCCATAAAATACCAAAACTTAAAAAAACTAACCATGAAGGAAATGTTAATTGTATCATATATCTCCCCATCTTTTGAGTTGGAATAGATGGATGGATCCCTAAACCTTCTTGTTAACCTGAAGTCATTGGTATGAATATTAATTATTTCTTTGTATTGTGCATTTAGGGCTGCTTGTCTCTATATGGAATGTCTCCAGAAATCTGTGTTTTTAGAATTTTAAAACTGTGTTGTTGTTAGTTTTTTTTTTTCATTTTTTTTTCTTTTTTCCTCATTATCGGGCTATCAGTTAAACCTCCCTTGTGGCAATTACTATTTATTTTCCTAGAGTCTAAACCCACTAAACTTTTCTTCTGCCTAACCTAATATCAGTTAAAAAAAATGAGACACTAAATCTCGTTGTAATATGTATACACAAAGATTATAGGCTAGCATGGAAAAAGGCCTTGGGTTTGTGATAATTATTTTAACATTTCAGAGATTTTTAAAAGCCAATTTCCAGTCTTTTAATTTTATTTTCTCGAGCATTCATTCACTCACTCATTGAAATAATAAATGTTATTATGTAATAGAGGTTTAAGCAGACCCCCATGGCTTCAGCATTTTATAAAATAATATTTATAATTAGTTTTTAGCAAACCGTATCTTTAAAGGGCTGGAGGGTGATTAAAAATTGAATGTTGCCATCTGAATATTATATATTTTCCAAATAGTGTATTCATTCAATTTACATAATTGCATGAATCCTGTGAGCGGATTCCCACCTGGTCTCCTGTCATTTGCTAGGCAGTGGCATTTAAATGTGGAAAGCACAGGTTCCTCTCCCTTAGACCTTTCTTCACCTGGTCTCAGGGTCCCTATTGTGTAATAACCTCTCTTGCACCTAGAGTGTAGATCTGAAACTTTCAGCCAAATAGCGAAGGAGAAAGAAATCTTTTGGTTGCCTTTTTCAAGGGGGACACTCAGTTTTTAGCAGGAAGTTGACTCTCATCCTTAGGCATTCACTGTTTCATCCTCTGGGAATCTTTGTCTGAAGATTCTAAGTCCTCATGACATTTGTCAGGGAACAAAGAAGTCATGGGTGGCAGATATTCATAGAAATTGGGGTTAACATTTCTGCATCAAAATTCTTGAAAATGTGTCCACTAGGTTATGCAAAGGATGTAACCTGCTTAAATATTTGCCAAAGTCCACTACCTGCAAAGAGGCTGCTTTCTGTGAAAAAAATAAATAAATAAATAAATAAAAGTCCTCCTCATTTCAGTGGTAACTTAGATCTGCCCGTAAGTTAAGTGAGACCCATAATCACACCATGGGTTTGTCCAAAATGTGTAGCTCCATCAGCCAGACCCATCGCCTTCTCTTGATCTGGATTACTGTCTTGGGGCCATCATGTGTACATGTCATGCCTTTTTTGGGCAATGCCCTACTAGCAGGGTGGTTTTAAACTGAGGTATACATCCAAATCATCTGGACAACTGTTGAAAATGCAGGTTCCTGGATCTCACACTGTGCCATGAAGCCAGATGCCCTAAGATGTTGAATCCCACTCTGAGAAATACTCTTCTGCACCCATGTTCCATGGGGATGGGGATTGTGTTGGTCTTGCTCACTGCTTTTTCCCTACACTGGCCTAATGCCTGGCTCATGATAGGTCTTCAATAAATGTTTGGTCAATGAAGAAATTAAGAAAGGTTGAGGAGTGATGAGTAGCATGGTGGCTTCAGTGGCTAAGGAGACTTCCTTAGGTGAAGGAATTCCTATCACCATGAGGGATGAGTTGTAAACCGTTTCTTTGAAGTTGTGTGTGTGTGTGTGTGTGTATGTGTGTTTTGAATTATCAATAAATATCATTACTTTTTTTAAAGTATAAAAATACTGCACTGGGACATATAGTTCCATTATAATATGTTCTTTTAAAGAAATATTTTTTTTATTTATTTGAGACAGAGAGAGAGAGAGAGAGCACAACTGGGGAGGAGGGTTAGAAGGAGAGGGAGATGCTTCTCCCTGCTGAGCAGGGAGCCTGACATGAGTCTCGATCCCAGGACCTCAAGATCATGGCCTGAGCTGAAGTTAGACACTTAATTGACTGAGCCATCAGATGCCCCCTTTATAATATATTCTTATTCTTTCTTCCTCCCCCCTCTTTTCCTTCCATCCATCCAACCATCCATCTACCTTTATGTATAAAGAGAAGTCTAGGAGGTGCCTGGGTGGCTCAATCAGTTAAGCATCCACCTCTTGGTTTCAGCTCAGGTCATGATCTCAGGGTCATGAAATGGAGCTCTACATTGGGCTCCATGCTTGCTGTGGAGTTGGCTTGAGATTCTTCCCCCACATCCCATCTTCTTCTCCCTCTGCTCACACTCTCTGTCTCTGAAACAAATAAAATCTTAAAAGAGAGAAAGAGAGAGAGAGAGAGAGGTGTCTAGGAAAATGTTCATTTAATGCTCAATTTTTAAGTGGTGAGATTTTACATAACTTCAAATTGTTTTGGATTACATGAAATTTTGTGGCTTTTATAATAATTTATCAAGACAAATTAAGGTAAAAAATCATTTAAATTTTAAAAAATACATTCTCTTGGACTGATTGTTTGGAAATTAGAGTCCGTTAGCATATCTGATCTCAAAACCTGCGAAAGATGGGTGAGAAGACAGTAGGCATCAGCTCTGGTTGCCAAGGTCTTCTTCTTTTAGAATTCTCCTATGCAGGTCCCTGAACTATATCTCAAACCACACTTCCATTGTTCTTCAAAGTTCTCTCCTCTGAATCCAATATCCTGGACCCACCTGGTAACTATCTGTATCTTTGACTCATGGGTTGGATTCTTTAGTTCACAATAGTGTGGGCAGTTTGCCTGGGATTCAGGGCAGGACTGAAAGTCACTGCCCTGAGGGGTATGGGTCTACTTGAAGGTTTGGGTCTCTGGTGTTGGGGTCTGTCTATACATATGAAAGGAAAAGGGAAAAGGGAAAAGTTCATGTTTTTAAATAGCTCAAATCCTCCTTGTGGGAGCTTTTCTGGGGACTTGTCCCTTTGTGCAGGGAATGGAGGACAAATGTATATATTTTTTAGGGCAGAGCTGAGGCTGCCTGCGTGGCTCAGTTGGTTTGGGCAGAGCTGACCCCTGTTGGATATTGTGTCCCATCTGACGGCAGACCAACTTTCATTTTACTCTTTGCTTTTTTTTTTTTTTTTAAATTAACATGTAATGTATTATTAGCCCTAGGGGTACAGGTCTGTGAATCTTCATGTCATTTTATTCTTTTTCAACCTTATTGCTTAAAATCTCAAATCTCTGCCTTTAATTTTCCTGAGTGGTTTCCAAATATACTTTTCTTAAAAAAAGGTTCCACTTAGTGCTCCTATTGAGTGACCACCTGCCTGATATTGCCAGAGCTAGATCCCCATTCCTCTCCCATGAAAGATCTCTCCCTTCTCCTATTCTGGCACTCTCAGTACTATGAATTAACCAGACTCATTTTTCCACTCCCTTGGGCATACAGGAGAACTACATTTCCCAGCTTCCTTTGCAGTGAAGTGGCGCCACGACTTTCTGTCTAGTGTAAAGTGGATAGCAGTGATGTGAGGTAATTTTTGACTGGGCCCTAAAACCTCTTGAGAGGTCTATGTCTTCATTGTCCAGAGCTTGAGAGACTTGAGAGGCAGAGCTTGAAAGACTCTGTGTCTTCATTATACAGAGGGAGAGGATCCAGTGACAATGAAGAAGAAGGGTTCTGAGGTCCTAGGGAATAGTAGAACCAATGAAATCATGTAGTCTGGAAACCTAGGTCACTCTGTGGAGAAGTAAACTCTGCAGGGAATAAACTTTTATTGTGTTTTCCGTTTATATTTAGAGGATTTTGTTCTTGTAGAAAAATATAGCAAAGTCTTACTAAAATTCTTACTTATACTTCAAACCCACTTAAAACATTCCCATCTCTGTCTAGATCTCCTGAGTATCACAGATGAAGTTAATCTAGATTGATGTCTTCCTCAGAAATATTCTTATCATAGTTATTATAAAACATCTTCTCATATCCCTTCATTTCCCACTAGACTGGAAACGTTTTGAGATCAGAGCTTTGTCTTATCTTTGTAAACTTATCACTGGCCACTGTATCTGGAACATTCTAGTGTCTCCTGGGAAATGATGGAACCTGCATTGAACTAAGGTCTGTTTGACTAAATTTCATGTTCTTGTATATTCTGCTTCTCAGACAGAGATAGAGGGGAAAGAACCCAACATTCACAGGAGGTCCTGTGGAGGTCCTGTGGAGGTCCAAGTCTCAATAGTCATCTTCTTGGTAGAAAGCAGGTCTGAGGTCCTCAGGGAAATACTTATATTTTCTTCCTTCTGCAACCTCCCATGAACATGGCTACCGACAGTTGTCCAAAGATGGCCAAGGAGAGGGAAAACGATTAGAAGGCTTGGCTCAGCTTTGGAGAGAATGTGGTAAGATTCAGTTGGAAAAGATGAGGATGTCTCCAGAGACACCTATTTGGCAAAGTGATAGTGATCCCCATTTCTGCCCCAAAACCAGATACTGAGCAGTCATGGCAGAGGGTCCCTGTCCAGACAATTTCTGTTCAAGAATGAAATGCTTTTTTAAGCAGACTAGAGGAGAAGAAACTCACCCAACTGAAGACCTAAGAGAGGGCACTCGGCTTTGGCCCAGGAGGACCCCTTTCATGTTGTTCTATCTTCACTCTTCTGGGAAATGCATTGCATGACTTTCTTGGGGTGGAGGGCTCCAAAGTACAAATGTGCATCCACAGCAGTTTCCAAGATGTGCTTTTCTCCCTTTTTACTGTAACTCGAGAAAGTCAATGCATTTAGAAACTCAAGTGGTTTTCTTCAGACGTCCAAGTTACATTTTTACTTCCTCAGTTCAGCTCTCAAACTCCTCATCCTAGTTGACCAAGAACTGGTGAAAAAAAAAAATGGAGAAGGAATATCCTGAATCATTTACCTAGAACTTGGACAGGGTGTAAACAGGTCAAAGGCAAAGTAACTTCTAAGAAATCAGAAAGATGTGGGAGTACCGGAATGATGTCCTGCAAGGCCGTGATGTTGACAGATGCCAAGACTGGTTTGATGGTGCGTGGAGAATGGGATCACCAATGAAAATTTGCATTAAATACTGTAAGGTCAGTCCCCAAACAACATTATGTAAACTCATGCAATGTCTTATTTTCTGCTCTAGAGAAAGGGTAGACATTTCTGTGTTAGTATTATTCATTCATTTCACAGCTGTTTACTAAGTGCTTACCATAAGGGGGCCACAAAGATCTGAGTCCTACTCATAAGGAGCTCAAATTATCCAATTCAATTCAATTTTCTCTAGAAAGTTATTTGCTGAGTCTACTTCATGTTTTGAACGGGCTTTTAATACACAGAGATTATCAATCTAAATCACTGGAACTTGGACCAAATGTTTTTGCCCTGGAAGCAGCCAGAAAGGATGACTTGAAGGTAGAAGAAAGAATGATGGGTATTCTTGCCAAGAAAGGGGGTTTGCTAACAGGTTTAGGTGGGGGCTGGGAATCCCAGGGGATTAGGAAGTAGATACAATTTGAGCAATTCTCCAGTTACTGTGTTTTCTGAGGAGTGTTTGCAGAACTCTAGGGAGCAATGTGCTTTGGATAAAAGTGTTCTGTGGTCAGATGTGTTTGGAAAATTTTGTATATCATATCAAGACATTTGTAATCATCCTCATGTGACATAATAAGGACTTGAGGAAGTTTTGCAGGAAAGAAAACAAATCACATTTCTTCCCCCAACCCCAGACATCCCAGACTTACTCTACAATATATTATTTTGCCATTTAATACCAATCCACATTCCATGAATCTGGCATTTTTCTCATCATATATTATAAAACATTAAAGCAGTTTAACCCAGAACATCATTCTATCCAAAAGGAGTTTTTTTTTTAAGATTTTGTTTATTTATTTATTTGACAGAGATGACAAGTAGGCAGAGAGGCAGGCAGAGAGAAAGGAGGAAGCAGGGTCCCCGCTGAGCAGAGAGCCTGACGTGGGGCTCGATCCCAGGACCCTGGGACCATGACCTGAGCCAAAGGCAAAGGCTTTAACCCACTGAGCCATCCAGGTGCCCCCCAAAAGGAGTTTTTAATAGTCAAATACACATTTCACAATTATTTTTATTAATGTACGTAGTTTCTTGGAGCTGTAAATCATTCATTGGGGATATAATATGGTCATGTAGCCAAGATACTATGTTGTCTTACATTACATTATGAAGTATATCATATGTACCATATTGACTATATGATCATATATGTAATGGGTTGAAATATTTATTTTTTTAACAGCTCACACCAGCTGTTGAAAGGAAAGAAGGGGATCTGGAAAAGATGAGACCCAAATTTGTATATCATCAGGCATAATAATTATCAAAGAAAGGAACAGATCAATAATTTGGTTTGGGAAAAGAGAAAAAGGAAAGAAATCTGTCAAGACAAAAAGTATGCCAAACAATAAGGAATAAGATAGGAGCGTGGCGTTTAGGTTTTAGAATTTTAGTAATTTTCAGGAACTTGACCTATTCAAAATCAACTTGAAGCTGTTTGTGTTGCTATCATGTAAATCCCTGCATCTTCCTAGAATTATCAGCAAGGATTTTTATATACCCATACACTTTGCACTAATCTAATTAGATGAGAATTTAAAATAGTTGTGTGGGTAGGTGCAGAATGAGTGGGGTATAACCCTACAGGGTGGGGGTACCCCAAACTGGAGTTCAGTGGGAATGGTAGCCCAGAGGTCTCTGAGGAAGTTGTGGGATTTTCACAGAGCTCTGGGTGTACAATGGGTGTTTGATCATTTTTATCTATCTCTTATGGAGACAGAAATCCATTTCTGGGCAGTGTGTGTGTGTGTGTGTGTGTGTGTAAAGTGATAGAGAAAGAGGGGAATAGAGATAAAGATATGGAGATGGAGGTCTGTATGACACCTTCAGAATCTTAATTTCCAATTATAAATGTTTCATAGCTTAGAAATTTATAAAAAGTGGTTTTCTCAGATACCCATGCATAGGCCAGCAATAGATGAGGAGCCAGTAGGCTTTGGGAGTCAATCTGTAGAAGCCCCAGCAGTTGGCTGCAGGTCTGTGGCCAGAGTGAAAGGGGAAGGAGAGCCAGGGGGTCATCTCCAGACTTGGAATACCCTCAGGGCTCAGGTATGAGTGAAGTCCTATTCTGGGACCAGAAAAGAAAATATACATTCACAGACAGGTTTGTGGAGAAGTGACTAAAGAGTACATAGACAGAGGAAGACAAGGGGCTGGGATTCAGTGTGAAGGTATTGCAAAGAGTTAAGCAATGAGCTTAGGTTGCATAAAACAAGGTCTGCTGTCTAGAATGGAGGAGGAGAAAGTCCTTCTTCGCTTTGGGCTGGCCAGTCTACCTCCTTTCTGGATTTGTGCTTCTTTATGGGGCTTGGCCACCAGTAGTCCAGAGTGACCTTAGTGAAATGAAAAATCTGATCATGTCAGTCCCTCCTTTAAAACCATTCAATACGCACCCCTATGTTTACTGCAGCAATATTTACAATAGCCAAGATATGGAAGTGATCTAAGTATCTATAGATAGATAAATGGATAAACATGTGGCACACACACACACACACACACACACACACACACAAATATTACAGTCATCAAAAGGATGAATCTTGCCATTTGTGACCACGAGGGTGGACAGAGAGAGTACTACATAAAGTAAAGTAAGTCAGACCAAGAGAGACAAATACCGTACGATTTCACTCATATGTGGAATCTAAAACACAAAGCAAACGAGTAGACAAACAAAAAGCAGAATCAGACCTATAAATACAGAGAATGAACTCACAGTTGCCAGAAGGGGGAAAGAGGCAGAGGGATGAACAAAACGAGGGCAGAGGAGTGGGAAATACAGGCTTCCAGCTACGGAATGAATGAGTCATGGGAATGAAAGGCAGAGCATGGGTGACCGTAGTCGGTGGCGTTGTATTAGCATTGTGTAGGGACTAATGGTGGCTACCTTTGTGGTGAACAGAACATATTACACACAGTTGTGGAATCACTACATTTTATGCCTTAAACTAATATAACACTGTGTGTCAACTATACTTACATTTAAAAAAATTAAAAAGAAAACATTTGATGGTTTTCCATTGCACTGAGAAGAAAATATGCCCTCTTTCCCCTAATTTACAAGACCCCTCATGATCTTTCCTTCCACGGTTCATTTCCATGCATGGATTTGCTTAAAATGTTCTCCCTCTCTTACTTCCTCTCATGGCCCAGTTGACTTCTGTTCATCTGTTACATCTCAGATCATATGTCACTTTTTCAACTAAGCTTCCCTTGACCTCCAAGATCAAGTGATGCAATCCATTCTCATTCCACCTGACCTCATTTCACCGTTCCCTTCCTGGTATTCAATTCCCAGCAGAGGACCTCTTTCTGCACTGATGCATGGTTTGGAGAATCATGGTGGGAAATCCTTCAGCCTGAAGAAAGGCAGGGAAGTTTGAGCAACACCCACCCAGAAGGCTTTTCTCCCCACCTTAGGATGTCAGCAGGTTGGAAGGAAACCAAGGATATTATTAGCCTCTGAAGTTGAGTGGAGGGTTATCTGATCCTCGAAGCCAGTGGTCTTTAACCTGAAGCATCTATATCTCTGAAGATTTATAAATATTTTCCCAAAAGATACATAAACAAATTTGGTTTTGGATCAACTACCATATGAATTCTTCTAATATTTTTTAACTGAGAAGTCTCCTGGAATTTCTCCTTTTTATGTCATAGTTTCCTGTTTTCCATGAAAAATGAAAAAAAAAAACAAAACAATTTTGCCCACTGAGAATCTTATTATGGTGCATTGCACTCACATGAAAAACTTCCAGGGCACCAAATAAAAGGATAATCAAAACATTAAAAATATTTTATTATGCTAGATGATTGTGTGATAATTCAGTTGTGATAATAACTTGAGTAACAATGGTTAAAAAAGAAGCTTCCATTTCTATATACTTATTTCTGTGGACAAATTGTCTAAGCATTTGATATCTATAAAGACAGATAAACAAACAAAAGGAATAGAATCGATACCAAATCCTCTTTCTTTCATGTAATTAGTCATAATCATCCCCAGAAACATAAACAGCTTCATGGATATATCTCATTAAAAATACATTTCCAATATGATTATATTATTTCTGCTTAATAAATATTTATCAAAATTTGTAATGTATCCATCTTGTTTTAATGCATGGCTTAGTAATAATAAAAATGATATCTCCATATAGAAGAAATACTTTTTAATACTTAGAACCGTATAGCCCTAGGAATTACAAACAAAATTTAAAAGTCAATTTATGTACATATTTTTGTAGTGGATAAATATGATCAATAAAGGATTTTCAAGCATCAAAGTATATTACATGAGCTTAAAGTTCTGTGGGGGAAGTGAAATGAAACTATTAGTTCTCGGAGAAAAAGAAAAATGTTAACTGTTACACAAGAGCTTGTTCATTTTTTTAAATAGATGAAGGTGGTTATGAAATTGCTATTTTTTTTTAGAGTCTACAGGCTACGTTTTATGGTTTTGTCTAAAAAAGGTCAATATTCACAAGATACCAGAAATGGTACCTTTTGCAAGGAAGGACCAAACTTTGCAAACCACTTTTGGTGAGTAAGCAAGCAGCAAGCCTAAAGATCACTGCTTTAAGGCACTGCTCCTGGCCGCTGGAAGGGCAGCCCAGCTCTGCCCATGGACACGGCCTCACTGATCATTCAAGCACCTTGGAGTAGCTTCCTTTAGGCTTGAGTCCGAGGTCCCTTCTTATGGAACATTTTCCTGCCCCATCTCGCCACCCAGACCTGGTGAGGTTCTTCCCATAAACACTCTCAGTGACCCCATGCTGCTTTCTTGGATCATTTCTTATGATTTGCAATTACACATCCAAAAAGACCTGACCAAAATTCAGGGGTGCCACTAACTGTAAGCTCTGCGAGGACAGGGTCTTGTCTGCTTGTGCTCATCTCTTTTTCTCTAGCTTGGGCCTTAGAGCTTCATAGAAGCTTGGGAATTATTTGTTGAATGGATGGATGAGCTAAACAAAGGGAAAGCCTTTAAAATGCGAGTCCTCCAGGAATAGTGATGCTTCTGGGTTATTTGTATGTACACATCCCTCACTTACTGTTTTTTACCTTATTTGCAAGATTAACTGTGCAGTTCCTATGTGTCTGTGTATTTGGCTGTGTAACTTGCACATGGACAGCAGGGAAGAGTTAAAGATTTTACTCAGTAGGTCTTGGGCAGATCCCAGCTCCCTCACTTAGAGAGAGAGAGAGAGCACAAGCAGGGGGAACTGGCAGACAGAGGGAGAGAAAGAAGCAGGCTTCCTGCTGAGCAAGGAGCCAGATGCAGGACTCAATCCCAGGACCTTGGAATCATGACTTGGGCCAAAGGCAGCTGCTTGACCAACTGAGCCACAGAGGAGCCCTGGCAAGCAGACTTTTGATGTCACTTTAGCTACCTTGGAGAGGGATTGGGGTGCTGGGAGTGAGCTAGAACAAGACTTTTGGGACTGTTCCAAATTGTGCAAGCACAAAACATAGAAACTAAAAAGCAAATAAGAAAATGGAACAAAAACTCATGGAGAGATAGAGGCTTCTTTGGTGGCAGTGAGCATGTCTGCCTTTTTGTGTGTCCCCCTCTGTCTCTGAGTTTAGGGACACCAGATGAACAAGAGGGCTCTAGCTGAGCACCAACTTACACCAAGTTGGCCTGAGGCCATCCAGAAAACAAAACAAAACAAAACGGTTTTATAACAAAAGTACTCAAAAGATGGGGAAGGGCGAGTGGCCAGAAGAAAGACGTCCGAGCATGATTTGGTGAAACCCATGCTTGAACCCTGACTTTGCAATAATCAGCCGTGTAACTTTGGCAAATGACTTAACTTCTCTGAGTTTCAGCTTCCTCATCAGTGAACTGGGATGTCGCAATACTCCTTGAATAGGAGAATAGAGATGGAAGTGCTCTCTTCGGGAGAGGCTGTCCAGTAAGTGTCAAAACAGTTGAAAAATAGGAATTTCTAGAATAAGACTGGTACCTGGACACTCATGAACAGATTTAAAGAGTTGGCTAAACAGGATAATCCTTGGGTCCAAAAGTGGCCTGGACATGTAGATACTTATAAACATACATAAATCTCTGGGTCTAGGACGAGGTTCTCAACTGTGACACTTACTGACATTTGGAAAACTGTGTTGTGAGTGGTGGGGTAGGGGGCGTTGTAGGGTACTTGGGACCCTCTCCGGGTTCTATCCACTGGGTGCCAGGAACTTCCCCAGACAATGTTGCAACAACCAACAATGCTTCCAAATGTTGTCAAATATCTCCTGGGTTGGGGGGTTAAAATTGCCCCTGGTAGAGACCCACAAGTCTAAAAGATGAACTCACATGCAGGAAACTCTGTGTGTGCGTGTGTGTGTGGAATTAACAGGGGGGTGGGTAAATATTCAATGTGTCAATATTATAATAAGGCAACATCTGAGCTTTTTCTTTTTAGAGGCAACCCAAATAATTAGTGTTCAAAAACAAAATTTTAGGAGCAGGCTGTCAGTTAATATAAAACATATAGCTTATATTCACTTGGCAACATTTCTTCACACTATACTATCCTTGTCTATTTCTCAGGCCATTTCCCCATGGACTATTAGCTTCTTGGTGGTAGAAGCCACTTCTTTTTTCCTCTAAATTAGGATATGAAATGCCTGGCCCACAGTTGTTGAATAAAGGCAGTATTTATTGAATGAATGGAAGAAGTCAGAAAACTTTAATGAGCTTAGAAACCATGTAATGGCTCTTACAGATCTGTTGAGTAAGAACAATGGTATGTAATGTGTGACAAGATGCTTCTTTTAATGCTTAATAAGTACATTAATTCAACCTGAATAGTTATGGAATTTCTGAGATTCAACTTCAACCTGAGAACTGAGGTCAAATTCTTTTTGACTGGATGAAGGGATAGACGGATGGATGGATGGATGGATGGGTGGAGAAGGATATGAGGTAAAGATGTATATAAATAATTCTTAAACACAGAGAAGTATGGATGTTGACAAGAACAGAAACTAACATTTATTGAGGCCTTATTCAGGTTTAAGCACTATTTTGGTGTTTTACTTAGTATCCTAGTTAATCCTCATAATGATGAAGGTATTATTGTTCCCGTGTTAAAACCAAGGCTGAGTGAGATTAAGCAACCCACTCAAGATGGAAGGATAGGCCCATGAACTCAACCCTGAGAGTTTCAAATATCCAAGACAATCTTCAGTTGCACTGCTTTATAGAAGGCTCCCCCATCCAAAATGGAGAGCAGAGATCTGTGAGGAACTGTGTCTTGGCTTCGAGTCCCCCATCTCCTCTCCCCAGAATGGTGGATGCAGCCTGACTCTATCTACTGGCCTGGTGCTTCTCCAATAGGTCTTTTTAAAAATATATATTTTATTTATTTACTGGAGAGAGAGAGAGAGCAAGTGAGCAAGAGAGCACATGAGTTGGGGGTGGGGTGGGAAGGCCAGAGGGAGAGGGAGAAGCAGACTCATCAGGGTCTTCTCTGAGCAGGGATCCCAAAGTGGGGTTCAATCCCAGGACTCCAAGACCATGACCTGAACCAAAAACCAATGCTTAACCAACAGAGCCACCCAGGCACCCCCGACCTCCCAGCAGGTCTCTTTGCTGCCTAAGATGGGAGCTTGGCTGCTGTGGAAAAGGGAAAATATGGCTGACACAGAAGAAAATGGAGCTACTCTTCATCTATTAACAGATACTGAGTCAAATGCTTGATATATATTGCTTTATTGAGTTCTTCTTAAAAATAAATTAATAAATCCCTGTAATATACCATGATGTCTATCTCATAGGTGGGGAAACTGAAGCTCAGAGAGTTTAAATACATTTTCCTCGGTCATCCTCCTTTGGCAGAATGGGTTCAGATCTTCACACCAAGCATTTCATTCCTCTAAAATGAGTGCCTTGTCCCCAGTGAAGGGCTATACCTTCTGAGAATGGGCGGCCAAGTATCTTGTCTGGGGTGGGATCCAGGTTAGATTTCCCAGGGAGAAGATGGGGGGAGGATGGTATAGATGTGAACTATTCCCAGGGCTAAACATTTGAGGGAAAGAGAGAATGGGTAGGCAGAGAATAGCTTGCATGGGTAGGTTCCAGAACTCAGATTTAGTTCATTGAGTATATTAACAACAAATATAGTTATTAGACAATTGAGTATGCGAGTAAATACTGAGTTGTAAGACCCATATCCATTCAGAATGTGCCAACTGGGGTATCGATCACTGTCTCTTCCGTTAGATCTGTAGACCTGTCATCCCCTAGACTGGAAGGCAAGGGTCATTAGTTTTTTAAAGAGAGGTAACCTGTATCCCTGGTAACAAATTCAGACAGTATGAGTTACACAGTGAGAAGTACGTCTCCCTTCTTCTTCTTGAGACACCACCAGAATCAGTTAGACCTTTTTAAACTAAGTGTGAGTTTGAGGGCTTCCATTCCTATTCTTTTAGAGGATAACCTGTACCTTCCTAAGCCCCATTTATTCCTTAATTAAACACCTAATTACTAAGTACCTATCAGGGCCAAGCCTTCATTTCTTTTTCGGTATGTTTTCTATTGTCCTGTAACAAATGCTCACAAACTCCATGACTTAA